CAGATCAGATAAGGATTCTGCAGGGAAAGGTGTTGAGGTATACTTACAGTATTGCCCTCTCTAACCAGAGCCAGCATTTAACGTTGCAATTTGGCCCATATATCTGCAGAACAGCATAGAAATCCTGCCTGGTTAAACTTGAAGATGGGGGACACCCAATGGGGCCAAGGACAACTCAAAGGAATGTATGGACTGAAACAAGGGACAAGGTTTCAGGATGTTGGGGTCCTTAAAAAAAAACACTGCAGACCATCAGTGGATTGAGAGCTGAAGTGACCCAATTCAGTTGGAATATTAAGAATACGGAGTGATGCAGCGCTACTCTGATAATATTGATATTAATACTATATAAATGAACATATAAATGAAACCTGGATAATACCATGACAGAGAGTCAGGTTATCAGCATGGGAGTGACATTCAGGCTCCTATAAAAAGGACGTATCGTAGTGCTAGCCCTGAGGAAGTCACGTGACTTGAGTGACAAAGCGTAGGCGCGGCGACGCACTTCTGGCGTGGACGCCATCTTGCTGCCCAAATTGAATACCCATGCAGATACACCCATAACATGAGGTTCTGAAATGCTGTTTGTCTAAGGATCAAAATGTGAGTGCAATATTTGGATTTCTGTACTTTTATCAAGTTTAATAAAAGATATTACACTATGGAAGGTTCTATGTCTTTTGAGATATTGGCTCTTACCATATGCGTTACCTGGAGAGGATTCTGTTACTTATATGTACATCCCTGGGAGTGAGATCGCTGAGGGGAGAGATATCCAGGAGTAGAGGAATCATGTGCATGGAGGAACTGTGGTAGTGATCCAAAAGTGTTTTGACCCCTTGCGGGTCGAAGCAAGGTGAGCGGCCAATCCGGCTTTTGACGGATACCCTTATGTGATTACTCACGTACACCATCCACGTGCATTAGTGCAGTGGTACTAGTTTTCCACTTTATTTGGAGTCATGCATTTTGCATAATATAGGTTCACATTTGTTCATACTATTGATTGTGTTTGATTTACGTATATATTGATTGTATATGAAAACACTTTTTTGGGATTTGGATATATTATTCTTACATGTTTATGCACGTTTTGCACTTTTAATGCGTTTTCTTTAGTCTGATTTGGGCTAAGTTTATATATTTGTTTGCTTGATTTGTTTACACCATCACTTTGGATTCTAACTTTGGTTGTATACACAATTATACCATACGATCAGTATTGGTAAATCTGAAATTACCATCTTTTGAGTGGTTCAACATTCACTGTGTATACTTTGGATCCATGTAGGATCAGTTCACTTATTATAGATCCCTGGAGGATCAAGTCACTGTTTATGGTTTTGTTGCACATTGTGTCACCTTTATACACTTTTTCATTTATATGTTCATTTATATAGTATTAATATCAATATTAGTAGCACTGCATCACTTCCGTATTTTTATATCTTGTATCATTTGGGTATATGATTGGATGCTAGCAGCTTCCGTTATTTAGACTAGACAAAGGTTTTTTAGGTTGAAGCGCAGGTTTCCTCCATTATTTCTCAGTTGGAATATTCCCCTTGTTTGATCTGACATTACACAAGGGAAACAACTTTGCTTAATGCACCAGGTAGAGACCTAGAGTTTTCACAAAATAACTGCTGAGAGCGAGAGAGGTTTAAATGACCAGATGTGACCAGGACACTGTATGTGGCAGCAAGGACTAACCAAGGTGGAACCACATGTCTCCTGCAAATAGGAATGACAAGAAGATGCTACCTTATACTAGAGGCTAGGATGTGTGATACAGCACTGACTTGTGGAATGCTAGTTATTGCACACAGATTTTCCCAGAAATTGGAAAAAAATATTTAGGATCTTTTTTCAGCCACAAAAATAGCCCCTAATAGACACGTAAGCCAAGTGGGAACATTGGCAAGGTCTTGAATAAGTCCTGTGCAGTTACGCAAAGTAAAGAAGATATTTCACCACTGGCACATTACAGACCTGATCGTGGCATGCACCATAAAACACAATATAAAGAAAAGCACAGACAGATAAATACCTGTACATGTCTAAATGTTTATTTTTCACAGAATCTATGTGATTTTTTTTTTTTTTAAATCTTTATTTTACAAGCACTGTATGTATCTTTGGTCCATTGTAAACTTTTCTTACATTATCAGGATAAAAGCAATTTTCCATTTAATGGAAACTTTCCATTTTTCCAGTTAAAACAAACAAAAAATACAAATAGCAAACATATTTCAACATTAAAGTACCAACATTTTAGATTGCATAAAAAAAAAAAAAATACACAAAGAAAACCTAAAAGGATGAGAGAGCATAAAAAAAAAAATAAAATGTCACATTTTCTTTATCTCCATAGCAAGTAGTGCATCTGGAAGTCTCAAAAGCCTTCATTTATATTAGCGAGTTTGTCTGTCAAGAGAAGAATGCTCTAAGAGGGATTCCTGCAAAAGTACCTAACATTCAGGTAAGCCGTCTCTGGAAATAAGTGTAAGGCACTCCTTGGCAACCATTTCCGTGTTAAAAACAAAAACTATCCTCTTTACCGCTCTGATTTGATGCTATGTTTGCTTCACAGGTAAGGTAGGACAGAGGATTTATCTGAACACAGGAAACTGGTTGCCACGGAATGACTTGCAATGGTTTTTCAGGGAAATCTGGTTCAAAGTAAAAATCTGCAGCTGGGCAGATAAATCCTTTAAAGCTGGCTGGCAGGGCAAATTGTAGTTATCCCACAGCTGAGAGGCTGCATACTGTCCAGAAAGCACACCATCATATTCCATTTTTGAGATAATTTCTGAAATTAATCAATTAAAAGGATTGTTATCCAAGAATTGAAAACATCCATGAGCCCAATTGTGCATCAACCAGAAGTTCTTTAAAATGCTGGCTGGTGCTGTACTCTTCTGCTGCAGGCAGCTTCAAAATGATAAATGCCAACAAGCTGGCAGAAAAGATGCTCACAGCTTCTGCACTCCAGGTGTCAGTAAATCTACCATGCCCAGTCAAGCACAAATCTGTAATGTCATGTCAACTTAAGGCATTTAAGGTATGTATCAACACACACACACAAAAGGTGTAGGTCTGACCAGAACGCAACAGCTACTTCTTTATCATATTTTATCACAAACACAACTAAAAGCTCTCCACGTATCAGTGCAATGTGAACTTTGCTACCACAAGCACCTGTGGAGAATGAAAAAGATGGCACATCTGGGTAAAGCCGAGATATTCTGCTTGTACAAGGACAACCACTGAAATGGTCCAGAGACAGACAGGTAGCACTTCAAATGCCAGATAAAAACCAAAAGTCAAATGATGCCACATCTGCATCCCCCTTAAATATAAAAAGTGTGTGCTGCAGGTAGAAACTAATCAGATGTCATCTCTCATCTTCTCCTTTCACCAGTAAAAGGACAGCTGGGTAGAGTGGTTGCAATGGACAATGCACCCCTTTCCTCCAGTTGAGATGAAGCCCCATATCAATAAATGCCTTTTCCAGATGAGCTTATTTTTATACTAGCAGAACAATAAAGGACGTATAAAGCAGGGCTAGGTCCAGCAAAGTTGAGAGTTTTAAATGCTTCCTTAGAGGAGGTACCACCACTACTACTACACAGACAAACAAATTTATTACAAAAAGGTGCAAGAGCAACGTGAAAGCAAAAATAAATCTATAGCAGGAATACAATCCAGACACTGCCTGGACTATTATTGTGGAATATGCAGCCTGAGTTTATTGGAAAACCAGGACTAGTGTCTGCACCCACACAAGTCTTTGCTTTAAAGGGACGTTACCTACATAAATTGTGCCCAACACCACTGACCACATAGCACACAACAATTAAAATATACCCATCTATGCCATTCACAAATAATCAACCTGTGTAGAAATGGTTTACATTTTTAACTCCGCAGTTTTAGTGCTTTCTGCAAGGAGCCCTCAAGACTGCTCTAAGTTTCCAAAATTGAGGCAAATATTCAAGAGAGCCGTCTGCAGACTGTATTGTGTGTCACATTAATCAAGTTATATAATTTTATCTAATTAGTGAACTGCCGTGTATATGAATGCTTTTTTGTTTGTGACAGACTCATGTTAATTGAACTTACCGCTCCCTAATGATGTTGAATTCAATCCCCATGTCACATGTTCCTTGCTAAAGCTACTCCCTCAACCAACTAAAAAGACTGAGAGCACCAATCAGGGAGAGATAATGTATATAAAAAAAAAAACATAATGGCTTAAAAACTAAATCTTTTAAAAGGAGCAAATACCATTCTATAAAATAATTTCTGTCTACTTAACCCCAATATTTTACATTAGACATGTATAAAAGGAAAATGAATAAATATCAGTGTTGGAGTCCCTATAATCGAGTCACTAGTTCACAAGCATGGTTTTTCCATAACCCTTCCTTCTAGAAAACTAAAACATGAAAACGTACTCAGAGAAAGAAGACAACCTAAGCCCACTGTAGGCCATCAAGTAGTGCATGGTAGTTCTATTATGTCCTCTGTGCTTGCATCACATTCTCTGTAAAGGCACCTCCTCTGATGGATTGTGTCATTTCCAATCACATATACCCAGCAATGAGCAGCAGTCTGCATTGGACTATGGACAGCAGACTCTTGGCACGTATAGTTTAAATACGGAAAGTCATCATCTTTACATGGGGTGTAAGATCGTAATATGGACAAAGTTTAAAGTGCTGGATCTGACATGACATCAGTCAGTGCAAATCACTAGAACTCTGTCAAAGTTACTGCAAAGAAAGGTAATAGTATCTATTCTACAAGGCTCTGTCTGTTTACAACAGAAACTACATTTGTACAATATTCTGGTTTTCCAGATTTACAAGACGCAGCAGCAGGTGCTGCAAATGGGACTGAATACAAAGGAGATGAGGGGAACATAAATATAAAAAGTAAAAATTGGGATATAGAAATGGTAGAAATAGTGTTGTGTATGGATTCCACCCACTCTACTCCACAGTCACAGACTTGGCTAAGTTTCTTGGACAATCCACCTATGGAGAGAGGAAATGAGAGGAAAATATTGGTCATTCAAACACAGATGATATAGAACTGCCAGAACCCTTATTAAACTCCCAGCTAGAAAGCTGCCCTACAGGTGCCAACAACTTACATCATATCCTCTGAGAACAGCAAGATGGAAGGCAAGGAGCTGCAGGGGGATCACACTCAGTATTCCTTGAAGACAGTCCACTGTGTGAGGAACCTTAATTGTACGTTTGATGGTGTTAATCGTTTCGCTGTCCTCCTTGTCACAGATCACAACTGGACGCCCCTATTACAATTTAGAAAATAAATATGGTAACCAGAGGTCATGAAACTATAAGCCTTTATTTATCCATGCTTTGGTCTTTGACCTACCTGTCTAGCTACCACTTGCTGCAGAGCATTCTGACACTTGGTGTAGGCATGGTCCCTCATTATAATCATAATGACTGGCATAAGTTTGTCTACCAAGGCCAGCGGACCATGCTTCAGCTCCCCAGCCAAGATTCCTTCCGAATGCATATAAGTAATTTCTTTAATTTTCTGCAAAGCAATATAAAAGTTATTGTTAAACAATAAAAACAAACCTTTTTATTTGAAACAATAATACTGGCTATGAAATCCTCATCACTCTGACAGACTAATGTGGAAGGGTTAAACAACAGAAATCTATGCCCTGGTGTGTGGCCAGTTCTCATCCTTATTATCTCCCAGCATGGCAGGTCTGACTCACGACATCATGCATAAAGAATTTCCATCATTTGCCCTATACAGGCTCTGATGTCGAGGGAATGAGTAGGCATAGACAAGCAAAGGGTTGATTTACTAAAGCTGGAGAATGCAAAATCAGGCTCACTTCTGCACAGAAACCAATCAGCTTCCAGGTTTTATTGCCAAAGCTTAATTGAACAAGCTGAGGTCAGAAGCTGATTGGTTTCTATCCAGAAGTGAGACTGATTTTCCAGATTTAGTAAATAAACCCCCAAGTGTCAATTCTTTGACTGCACCTTATCTGCATCCACACATCCAAGAAAGAAACTAGAATGGTCATTAGTTATTCAGGGACTTCCCCAGCTCCTTTTTTTTAATAAGTCCTGTATTTCCATTGGTTTAGAGTTCTAACTTTAAAGCCCAACTCCAGATTTCATTTCACTTTAGATAGTTGGCTTAAACAAACTATTTACATTACAAAGAAATGCAGCTACTGTCAGCAGGCTACATAGGGTATACAGTACTGCCTTCTAGCAGTGGTATGGGAACTTTCTATCCCCTTCCTGAAACAAAATCAAGTCAAGCCAAGGGCTGCTCAGCCATTCTCAGGAAGCTTTGTACTTTTAATCAGTGAATACAAGGCTTCCACTGATTGACCGAGGTGGAAATCGTGATGTCATACAACTGCCTTTCCACCTTAGCCAACCAGAGGAAGCCTTGTAATCGTAATAAAATACAACACTTCCTGTGAGTGGCTGAGTAGCCCAACTCAATTTTGTAATGGAAATAGGACGGGAAGTTCCTATACGCTGCTGGAACATAGTGCTGTATGTTTTATGCAGTGGATGCTACATACAGTTTTATATAGCACTGACAGCAGACACATTTCTTAGTAATCTACATAGCTCACCTGGGCCACCCTGGCTCAAACTATTTAAAGTGAAATGAAACATGACGTTAGCCTTTCCATATAAAATGTGTTCTGAGGAAGACACCACAGTCATCAATTAGCAAAGTACAGCTTCAGATGCTGCCACAACAATTCAGCAAGTAGGAAACTGATAAGAGAAAGCCTAGAAGGCTTTAACCTACCAAGGCGCCTTCCAGGCAGGTTGCATAGTGATATCCACGACCCATGATTAACACAGATTTCTGTTGGTACAGTTCAGCTGCCAGCTTCTGAATCTCGTCATCAAGGCTAAGTACTTCCTTAATGTAGTCTGAGACAGAAAAGAAAAGACAAAATTTCATAGGCAAAGCAAAACCGACATATTCGCATTCACCATCCCTGAACCTTACTCTTAGACTGGCAAATGTAAGTTATGACCAATGAGGTATAGTTCTGTGACACAATCAGTGATCAGTACTGATCTTATCTGCTGCCTAGAATTGGCTCTATACAAGATAAATGAAGCAACACACACACACACACACACACACACACACACGGTAAAAGTGACATTCATTTGCTTTATCTGAAGTATAAAGGAGACATTCTGGTTTATGCCCTCCTCTCCCCCTCATCTACTTTTGTCATTTTTTGAGGGAAAGGTTAAGAGGTATCAGCTCCCACTTTTAATCAGATCGCCCTTCCTCCCCATTCACAAAGTGCAGCGCGGAGATGTACCTGCAAAGTGTGAAACCGCAAAGAATCACAGCTGGCTTTCCACAGTAAACATGCTGGTGACGAGGACCACCGGACAGGCAAGTGTCCTTTTATTAAGTCAGCCGCTACAGTATTTGTAGTAGCAGCTGACTTTTCATTTTTCTCAAATACATTGAAGCTCCTCTTTAATGATTCTTACCTGGTAGTATTTTCAGACCATGTATAATTTGCTTGCGTCGCTCTTGCATAGATATACGATCATCACAAACCATAAGTGCAAACATGACCAGAGCCACAAACTGGCTAGTGTATGCCTGTAAAATAAGAAAGGCTCTTATGAATCCTTACATAGAAGAAACAAAACTCACACTTCAACTAGAATTGCCAAAACATTCAGAGTGAATGTAGTTTGCTAGGCATCAAATACATGAATCAACTAAATCCTAATTTTCTAGCAATCATCCTCAATACCAGCTTGGCTTTTAATGCCATCTTTTTCATGTTTTTGGCCCACCAGCACTAAAGCTGGCCACACACTTTACAATTGGACTACACAAACTTCTTTAAATTTACCAACTACTATGCAGTGTGTAGGCTAACCACATTGGATAAAAATTGAATGGATTTTTCAAGTAGGACTTTGTACCACATGCATGTTAGTTAACCACTTTCCGTCTGGCCCATGTACATAAATGGGCGGACAGGAGCAGTGCAGAAGCGGGTTGCCGTCTATAAACGGCCCCCACATTTACTGCCTGTGCGTGCGGCAATGCGATCCGGAACACTGATCGCTGTATGGGACCTCTGTGTGAGGTCCCGATTTATGTTATATTGTAAAGCTCTGAGCAAACTGTTGGCGCTATATAAATCCTGTATAATAATAATGTGATCCCTGATTGGCCAATCAGTGATCACATGAATAGTAGTAAACAAGATGTCACTTCCTGACATCATTGCTTACTACGTGTGAAATCTGTGAATGATCACAGAGGTCACATGGTACAAGGCTATTCACAACAGCCTTGTACCATGTGACAAGCTGTGACCAATTTCAGCTCTCACAGAATTTCTCAATGGCTGCAAGAATGCAGCCAGAGAGAAAGAGGAATGATTGCTTTTACAGCCTTTATGGGTGTAAAAGCAATCAGGGTAAAAAAAAGAAAAAAAAAATCTTCATCACCCCCCACAAGTAGTACAGTGTCACTATGGTGACACTGTACTGCTAGGGTGACAGTATCTTAAAAAACAAACATTAAAAAAAAAACAATTTTGAAGAAATGTATGAAGAAAGATAATTTATTTGCAAAATTTTATAAGAAAACACTTTTTTTTCAAAATGTTTGGACATTTAAATTTATATAGCAAAATAATAAAAATCCCAGTGGTGAATAAATACCACCAAAATAAAGTTTTATCTGTCTCAAAAAAAATGCTACAAAACATTAATATGGGTACAGTGTTGCATGACAGCACAATTGTCATTCAAAATGTGATAGCACTGAAAGTTGAAAATTGGCCTGGACAGGAAGGGGGTAAAAGTGTCCGGACTTGAAGTGGTTAAATTACAGATGGTTTTACAGATTTCTTTTTAAAGCATGTTGTATCATGTGATGCCAGCTTTTACACCCTCTTATTTTTTTGTGTCACACCAGTGCTCACCTTTGTGCTAGCCACACCAATCTCAGGCCCGGCATTAATGTGGACACCACAGTCTGTCTCCCTGGAGATGGAGCTGCCAACAGTGTTAGTGATCCCCACTGTCAGGGCTCCCCGTTCTTTGCAGTAACGCAGGGCAAGAAGAGTATCCGCTGTCTCTCCTAAAGGAAAGCAAACACACATATAACTATTACTTCAAATGTGGACAAACAGAAATGGACTGATAAAGCTGGGTTTACATTGGTTATTGCATTAGAACATGCATAACAGAAATAGAGTTTGACCTATAGCAACTAATCATGTTATACTTCCATGTCAGATTTTGAGTGTTTATGTTGAACTTCTCCACTCCAACGCACGTTTCATCAATTACAAAGTCATTCTGAAGAAACACATGTTGGGGCAGAGGTGAGCAACAAGGGGAAGCAGCATGGAAGGTCTAAGCTGTGAGATCTGTGTCAACTGTCAGTGGAGATTGTGTGTATAAAGCCTGGTGCCTGGCTCATGGCTGCTGTAGTGACAGGGAGTCACAGTGCAGTTGCTTCCTAATGCTGAATATCTTAGTGCTGTGCAGCACTTGAATAACATCTGTTTTACTTTTTATAAAACATTGTTAAATTGTATTACTCTATTGGGCAATTAATTTTTTTCAATATGTATAGTATAACCTGATGAGCAAGGAGAGATGATTCAGTGGCAGTGATTTCTATACAGCCACTTATTCACTTGCAAGATTCTGTAAAATCCCCAAATTAAAATTTGCCTATCTTGAAAAAAAACAGGGAAAGGAAAGGGTACCTATATTTCCAATTTTGGATGGAGGGGCACTAATATGAAGCTTTATATCAGCACTTTAATAAAGAAGATCTATGAGTAATTTATATCTGGGACACAGTGTGCATTTATTTTTATTATATATGTGACCAAATATACTGTATTTCTAGATATTAAATAATACACACGGACACTGGGAGTGTATTTTTCTTTATTTATTTTATGGGATTGCTTAAAACCACATGGATTTATGTTGGAATTTTCACTGATACTATATTTTTGTATGTACTAGGGGTTTTAATGCAGCAGCTGGGGTACAGAAAGTGTGATTTAAGCTTACACAGTGTGGAGAAGTTATTTATTTTGCGATACATTGTTATGTTGTATTAGAAAAGGTGTATGTACATCAGATGACAAAGATTCCTATTAAATGACCAAGCTATGAGATTTCATACCTGATTGACTGATGAAGAAGCACACATCGTCTCTGAATACAGGAGTGTTCCTGTCTAGGAAGTCACTAGCCAATTCCACCATGACTGGAAGCTCTGTGAGCTCCTCAAGGATCTGACGTGTCTGTAGGAAAGATACACAGACACGATTAACATGTTAAAGTGTCTCTAAGGCTTGGTTCTTTTTGCCTGGAACCCTAAGAAACAAGTTTAGTTCCCAAAAACTGAGAACTATTTACATCAGTTCCCCACATGGCTTTACAATCTAACATCCCTAATATACAGTGGATATAAAAAAAAAGTCTACACACCCCTGTTAAAATGTCAGATTTCTGTGATGTAATAAAAAATGAGACAAAGATAAATAATTTCAGAACTTTTTCTACCTTTAATGTAGCCTATAAACTGCACAACTCAGTTGAACAACAAACTGAAATATTTTAGGTGGATGGAAGTAAAAATAAAAAAAATAAAATAATATGGTTGCATAAGTGTGCACACCCTTAAACACTTTGTTGTAATAAAATCAAAAGGTGCTTCAACACTCATCTTTTTGGGTATTAGTCTATCAGCATGGCACATATTGACCTTGCAAAACCACTCCAAATCTGTCAGATTGCGAGGGCATCCCCTGTGCACAGCCCTCTTCAGATCACCCCACACGATTTTCGATCGGATTCAGGTCTGGGCTCTGGCTGGGCCATTCCAAAACTTTAATCTTCTTCTGGTGAAGCCATTCCTTTGTTGATTTGGATGTATGCTTTGGGTCGTTGTCATGCTGAAGGATGAAGTTCCTCTTCGTGTTCAGCTTTCTAGCAGAAGTCTGAAGGTTTTGACTGGTATTTGACTCTGTTCATAATTCCCTCTACCTTGACTAAGGCTCCAGTTCCAGCTGAAGAAAAACAGCCCTAAAGCATGATGCTGCCACCACCATGCTTCACTGTGGGTAAGGTGTTCTTTTGGTGATGTGCAGTGTTGTTTTTGTGCCAAACATTCTCTTTTGGAATTATGGCCAAAAAGTTCAACCTTGGTTTCATCTGACCATAACACATTTTCCCACATGCTTTTGATGTGTTTTTGCAAAATTTAGCCGGGCTTGGATGTTTTTCTTCGTAAGAAAAGGCTTCAGTCTTTCAATCTACCCCATAGCCCAGAAGAATAATATGGGAGATTGTTGTCACACATGTACCACACAGCCAGTACTTGCCAGATATTCCTACAGCTCCTTTAATATTGCTGTAGGCCTCTTGGCAGCCTCCCATACCAGTTTTCTTCTCGTCTTTTCAATTTTGGAGGGACGTCCAGTTCTTGGTAATGTCACTGTTGCGCCATATTTTCTCCACTTGATGATGACTGTCTTCACTGTGTTCTATGGTATATCTAATGCCTTGGAAATTGTTTTGTACCCTTCTCCTGACTGATACCTTTTAACAATGAGATCCCCCTGATGCTTTGGAAGCTCTCTGAGGACCATGGCTTTTGCTATAGGATGTGACTAAGAAAATGTCAGGAAAGACCTACTAGAACAGCTGAACTTTATTTGGGGTTAATCAGAGGCACTTGAAATGATGGCAGGTGTGTACTGACTTCTATTTAACATGATTTTGAATGAGATTGCTTAATTCTGAACACAGCAACATCCCCACTTATAAGAGGGTGTGAACACTTATGCAACCACATTATTTTAGTTTTTTATGTTTACTTCTCCCGCTAAAAGATTTCAGTTTGTTTTTCAATTGAGTTGTACAGTTTGTAGGTCACATTAAAAGGTGGAAAAAGTTCTAAAAATGATTTACTTTGTCTCATTTTTTTACATCACAGAAACCTGACATTTTAACACGGGTGTGTAGACTTTTTATATCCACTGTATATGCAATTTGAAAGCCAATTAAGCAGTCAGTATGTTTTTGGATTGTGGGAGGAAACCCACATAAACACAGGAAGAACAAAATCCTGCAGATAGAGTCCCTTGTGGGACATGAACACAGGACCCAAAGCCACAATGCAAGAGTGATGACCACTCATTAATACCCCTTTACTCAAACAGCATACATGAAAGTACAGTGTCCAAAATACTAGAAGGTAATAAACACTTACAGCAACTCCAGCATGGTAGCTGGTTCCACAGGCAATGAGGATTAGTCGTCGACATCTTTGTATTTCTTTGATGTGATCTTTCAGACCTCCCAAATTTACTGTTAAAAAGTATAAAAATGAAATAAGAGAAAGGACAATACTCCACTGCTTAGAAACAGAAGACCTGGTCATGTACTCTACTTTGTCCCATAGGATACATAGGGACAATTCTAGCTGCACTGTCAGAACAGACAGGCTTGGCATTCTTGGTCAGGTCCCCTGTACACTTGCACTAGAAGTTGAATTACAGAGGCAGTGATGTAAAAGATGACTGCTCAGCATAATGTCTGACTTCTGGGTAAAATGGGCTTATCTGGGACAATAATCAAATTAATAAGACAACAGCATCAAACAAAGAATCTGCAATATGACACTGATATATGTCCAAGTGCTTTTGGGTACATGTTAATATACCTGATCAGCTCTGAGCACAATGGAGAGCTCAGCAGCTGCCAGGAAAGCTCACCAATTACCCCTTTTAATGACATTGTGAACAAAGTCTATTTTTATGACTACATTCATTTAGGAAATTTTAAATCATTTCAGTTCCACTTCAACTGTGCCAGTAAATCTCAGCTAATCTTTCTTAAATGTTGCCTAAGAGGTGCACAGTCTACTGCTTTTACATGCTGTCATGCCTCCAGAACTGGCCAAACTTTAAAACTATATGAAAATGTAAATATATTACAGAATAAAAGCAGCATGCATTAAGGGAGAAAATTACCGGTGTAATTTGTCAGAATTAAAATGCAGAGTATATCCCTCAATCCTAAATTTAGGAACAGCCACCAACCATGTCATTATGATTTACAGGTTGGACATCATTAGTGAGCAGGCACTTGGAGTAGGTACAACACACAGCTTTCCCAAAAGCAGCAAAAGGTCTGATGTTCTTACCGATTAGGTCATCAAAATTGACTCGCCCTCTCATTGTGTTGACTACAGACTCTGGCTGCTCAAAGATTTCTTTTTGCATGAAAGAACTGAAGTTGCCTGTAAGTCACAAAAGGGCAAAAACAGAAAATGTAAATGTTTTATTTTATACTCAGTAGTACCAAAACTGTGATATTCTCCTAACAAGCCTTTCCCTGTCACAGCTGTATTTATCCTTCACCCCATACCTGTCTGGTGTTGGTCCCTGCACTTTCTAGTATCATGTTGGCTGAAATGATGATCCTTAGGATTTATTACAGTTTCATTCACACAAGACAATGGAATTGATTTACTAAATGGAAACAGACTGTGAACTTTGCAAGTGCAGTTGCACTCATTTTCCCCAGAGCATAGTACATGCAGTGAAGCTCTGCTGAATTCCATCATCCAATCATGTGAAAGCAAAAATGCTGTTTTTTTTTTTATTTTCCTTGCGCCTGATTGGACATTTTTTTTTTTTGTACAACGTTACATTCCACCACATTTACTAAGCTCTAGAGCAACTGCCCTGTCTATCTGCTTTTAGTAAACCAACCCCAGTGTTTGCAATATACTATTTGTAAATAGGCACAAACATGGGGCTAGTATATTAACCCTCCTATCTCACTTCTGAATAAAGCCTAAACCTACTGTATGAAATAATGATTGGTAGACACAGACCATGTGATCTAGGCTACCTAAGCTTGGATCTTGGGGGTAAGTAGTTTTGTTAATGTTGACAAGTTCTCCACTGAATCACGAGGGTGTTATTAACTGTAAAGTGCACCTGTCATTAGAAAATTTCTACTGCAATTTTGCTTGAGGTGATTGTAGCCGTATTAGTGCATTTGCGACAGAAACAATTGAGTACTGACGTGATACTTTTTTTATTTGCTTTTGGGGTATGTCCCCTTCTTCAAGGTCCAAGCAATACTATTACAGAGTTTTAGCAGAATGTTAGAAGAGATGTGGGGGATGAAAAAAAAAAAACCTCTGAGTGTTGTTGTCCCCCCCCCATAGTCTTTGCTTTTGCTGTTTTTATCTCTAGTCTAATCCTAGTCTTTTAACCATTGATGTGTACATCTGTGTGTTTCTATCTGGGTTTTTTTTTTTTTTTTTTCATCCCCCACATCTCTTCTAACATTCTGCTAAAACTTTGTAATAGTACTGCTTGGACCTTGAAGAAGGGGACATACCCAGAAAGCTTGTCCTCAAAATTGTATGTTAGTGCAAATAAAAAGAAAAGAAAGAAAAGTATCACATCAGTACTCAATTGTTTCTACTGCAATTTCGAAACCTAATTTTGAAAGTTTCCTGACTGTGTCGGATTTCAAAACTCCTGCCTTAGCCAATACTTACCCTTCATGATCTGCTGCAGCTCCATCTGTAAGGTCTGAATGGCACGGGCTGGGTGGTCTCCAGCACTTCTCTTGATGCGATGGATAGAAAGACGACCTTCCACGACAGCAGCCACGTCATCATCTTCCAGGTAAATAACTCTGTTCGTGTGTTCGATGACAGCACTATAAAATAAAAAGGATTTTGATGCAGCTTTAACAGGCTGATTTAGCTGTTGTGCCATATTTTTATTACTAACAAACTAAAAAAATCCCAGCGCTAATCAAAGAAAGTATACAATTATGCAGCTGTGCACCAGTGAAAACTGCCAATAATAAATAACACAAAAAACAGCGCAAAAATTAAATACATAAAACTAATCACAATAAATAAGACCTTGAAAACGCCCTGTGGGTGGGGCGAAATGCATTGACTGGTCTGCCGTCTTCTTGGCCTACGTCACTTCCGGTATTTGGAACGCACTCCGACTTTTGCGGTTAAAGCAGCCATTTTTGAGGTGGAAAGCTTCATCCTCTACAGTGATCCTTAAAGCGTGAGATCCCTATATTTACAATTTGGAAACTTGTTCCTTTGAAGCCTTTGAGGCTATTAAACAAGGCCTGTTATTTTATTGAAACATGTGAGTGTGGATTTTATATGGTATTGAGTGGCAGTATTACACAGTAGCCTTTCTTTCTTGCACATTATTGAGGATTTCATGGAGAAGTAGAGTGGAGTCGATTGCTGTATCTAAGCAGGGTTCGAAGGCGATTTGAGTTCACCTGAGGGGCTATAGCATCCCTTATATCCTATGAGGCTAACTCACCTCCATCTGGTGAGTGCGGTCAATATTATATTTTTCACGTGTGATTAGGTGGAAGCACATTTTGGAACATTGTTTTGAAAATCCTTTTGGGAAAATAAGGACTTTAACAGTTTGAAATATTATATATATATATTTTTGCACGGACATTTAGCTGTTTTATGTATTTAATTTTTGCGCTGTTTTTTTTGTGTATATATTTTTATTACTGTTTTACAGATTTGGAGATTTTTTTTTTTTTTATTTCTAGCTTGCCTACTAAACATTACTGAACATTATCCACTCAAGAATGGTTTGTTAGTTGTATTTGTACATAATACTGCACTGCCTGTATGTGAGATACAGTAGTACTGCATGATCTGTAAGGGCAGCAAGAATGAGAGTGGCTAAATAATACTCCTAATGCTGCCCCTCCCATTCCAGTGTAGCACTCACCCCCCTGAAAGGGCCCTCTCAAAAGCTTCTTAGTCTGTCTTAGCAGCAGCAGCAAATAATGGACTGAGCTACGCCATAAGGAATGTCTACCTTTTTAAGCACAAGCTGGCACTGATGCAATAGGATATTAGCCACACACAGGTCACTAGGATCTCTCACACTGGTCTGTACTCAAAAATGTCCCTGGATATATGGTTGTCTCTTTCCAATATCAGCTAGACACATCTCCCGTGAAGTCCAGTAGAACAGGCCCTCCAGCTCTAATACAGCTGGGACCTCAATGAACAAGTGTAGCTGGGCTACTTTCCCCAGCTACAGAAGCGCAGTAGCCCTTCAGGCTGGGAACTTCTGGACAAGAACCTTGCTGTTCCAAGTCAATGATGATTTATGCACTCCCCAGTCGCCTTCTTGGCACACTTCCCCAAGGGTTGGCTGGCACCACATAAATATTCAGGCTGCTTATTTGACTCTTGCAGCCCACTACATTCCAGAACCCTCCAGAAAGCAGATGAAGCAGTCAAATCGGCAACCAGTGAGACTCAGAACAGTACAAACTAATCACAAGCTGCTCAACTGATTAAAGGACAGCTACGGGAACCAACTTTAACTAACCTAACTACCAGCCTATGTAGGAGGGTACTACACTAGTGTGAGCCCTGCTGTACAGGATATAATTGGAGGCTCATATCAGCTGCTTGGTGTTCAGTTATAAATATCACAATACATTTACTCAAGACAGCAAAAAGCAACTACAGGTAATTCAATGAAGTTAATGATATGTAAGTTAAGATTGTGTGTTGGACAGTGATGTAGTCATACTGTAAACTTCCAGGAAATATCCGATACAATTATACGGTATGTACTACTTTACCAGGTACCCAAAATTGCGTAAAAAAACCCCCAAAACAAACAAAAACACTGTAGTAAAGCAAAAAAGACAATACTGCTCATGGGCAATCAGGGCTAATTTTCCCCATCAGCTATTACGCGATATACTAAGCCTTTGCACTAATCACACATTTGTGGGCTCAGCATTTGTACATAATGTAGTATATATAAAAGCGTAATGTTTTAGAAGTATATATTTTAGAATGTTAACATTTACCAACAATGACAATACATTAGACATCAAAAATGTAAATGGACAATAATTCCGTTCTGTAGCCTTTATCCGTGAACACCCAAGGCTAAGGGTGTCCTCACCTGGCATCTGATGCAAAGTAGTATTCCACAGCTTTCTCATCTACAGGGAAACAGACAAGTGGTGCTGTCCACTCTGGGCAAGGTGCAGCTGCCTTTCTTCTCCAGACCTGTAGACATGAACAGGACAAGGGTTATTAATGAGTGGAGGGGCACCAGGTAAGAGTGGGAGAAAAGGAGTCCATAGACCGATAAATCTCAGCCCAGCCAGAGGAAATGCAGCCTGCGGAAGGATAAAGCACAGTTTGGCCCTGAGAAGATTAAAGCAACCATACAGTTATGTTGTGGTAACCTTAAGTAACAAAGGTCCAATTTTGGCATCTTGTTGTCATCAGGGGAAGAAGAGGGTGAATAGGGGCACAAGGGAAACATCAAATTAAACAAATAAGCTGTTGACCAAGGACAAGTGTTCTGTAAAATTAGGAACGAGAAATAAATGGTTTCTCACAATTTATTGTGGAATTTGCTGTCCACATAAATCAATCAGATCTTCCTTTTCATTTTCCCATACCACACCAGGAACATGTAAGGGAGACACTTCCTAGATACTATGTGCAAAAACCTGTTTTTCCTTTTAAAATTAGGCCTACAGTTACCATGATTTGTCTGTAGAATAAGAAGACTAATATGAGAAAGTACTGGCAGGCATGGTCCTCAGCATTATTCTTTTGAAAAGTATGAAGCTATTAGCTTTATAATAACATGCAACATAGAACAATGCCATGTTATTATAATGTAATATTAAGATGACTCGAGACAAAAAATGTTGGTAGTTAAAACTGTGTGTCTGTGTTGTGTAAAAGAAAAAAAGGATGTTCAATAAAAAATAACTTAAAAAAAAAAAAGCTACAAGTTTTTTATTGCAAAGGTGTTGAACCTGGGAGACGGGAACCAACGAACCATTTAAAGAGGCCTTTTAACTGAAATATTTGCAGAGAGTTCAATAGAATGCAGCAGTGGTTAAATGGTTAGCACTTCTGCCTGGCAGTACTAGGGTCGTTGGTTCAAATCCCAACCATGGCACCACCTGCCTGGAATTTGCGTGTTCTCCCTGTGCCTGCGTGGGTTTCCTCTGGATACTCCAGTTTCCCCCCACACTCCAAAGATATGCTGGTAGGTATAATTGGATCCTGTGTAAATTGGTCCTAGTATGTGTATGCATGAATGTAAGTTAGGGACCTTAGATTGTACACCCCTTGAGGGTTAGGGACTGATGTGAATGTACAACATATATGTAAAGCGCTGCATAAATTGACAGCACTATGTAAGTACCTGCAGTAAATAAAACATTAAAGTAATGTAAATAATTTATTATCACTACGCTACAGTTGGACTTGTTAGATGTGAATTTAAAAAGAGCCCCGAGATCAGTGTGAAGCTAAATGTTCAGCTAAGGAACATTAGATAGTGACTGGAAATCAATATCTACAATCACAATTATGTTACTTCTATTTCTACAGAGTTCCAGATGCAGATAGTTCAAGATATTGTTATTTCAAAGATCAGGTAATGTTCCAGTTTTATAGAGGTAACTGACTTTATATCACTTCTGGATCAGCAGAATATATAAAACACAACTAGATGCCAAAAGTTAAACCTCTGCTTGCCCATCCCATACCACATCATAAGCAAGGCCAGTAAATATGAAGCTTGCAGAATAATATGAAGATTAGCTCCCATGGATTACATATCCAAGTAATTTAGCAAGAGAAAAATGCCCTAAAACGAAAAGCAATAAAGAAGAAATATTCCATTGCACATGGCTCAGAATGGACAGAAAAGGGTAAAAAACTGTATCTATTCTGGTACTGTTTCCATCTCTACAAGCTGGAAACATGCAAAGTAGGTGTTGGCTGAATGTATTTAGTGTAATATGTATAGGGTGTATATTATATCCTCATTCCTCCCCAAGTGTATCATTATTATGTTACCTTACAACATGAGACCATGAGCAAAGCAACCAAAAACAACCAAAAAAAAAAAAAAAAAATAAAAAAAAAATAATAAAAAAAAAAAAGGTACAGCTTTCATTTTCTAGCCTGTACTACAGCAATATCTAAACTTCACTTTCCTGCTATGGACACCTCTCCTTTTCCTTGCATCCCTTTTCAACTATTGGCTCCACTGTGTCATTTGACCAAACAAAACAGGAGCCAAAGCAGATCAGCTAAGACAATAGTTAGCCAGCTAAAGATGTTCAAGGTTTTAAAAAATTTTAATTGGGTTTTAAGTTCACTGAAATGCACACACCACTATGGGTGGGTAGCTGTTCATGATAAAAGTTACAAGTTGTCCCTGGTCTTCAAACCACAGGGATGATGTGTAGACAGAGTAAAAGCTTCTAATGGAATAGTATGTATACAGATCCCTGGGATACTTTTATAGAGCAATGCTGCCATCTAGTGGATGTAAGTCATACAGTCTGTATTGAGACACTAATAAATAATAGAACCTAAATAGAGGGAGTGTAATGATTTCCTACTGTGTGAGGTGTATGGCACTTGCATTGATCTGCATGGAAAACAGTACCAGATGCACATATTGATAAA